AGGGTCAGAGGGAGAAGCAGACTCCCCGCCGAGCAGGGAGCCCGATGCGGGACTCGATCCTGGGACTCCAGGATCACGACCTGAGCCGAAGGCAGTCGCTTAACCAACTGAGCCACCTAGGCGCCCAGTCTTTTTTATTTTATATTTTTGGCACCATATAAAGTATTAAGATGATCGTATCTGCTGTTGATAATGCATAAGGGAAAAAGGTGACTTGCCCAAAGAAGTTGCATAGCAGTTTGGAGTAATAGGCAATAATTTTATTGCCTAGCCTTTTGGCTTCTAGAATAGCTTTTATTTCTGTGAACTTAATATATGCATTCAGTAATATGTAACTACTCCTCAATCATGAAAATAGATTAATCTGTTCCCAAAAGCAAACATTCTGTGCAAAAATACTCACCAAGAGCATGTTTTAGGGTTACCAGATTTAGCTGGTAAGATACATGTTAAATTTGAATTTCAGATAAACAGTATTTGTTTTTAAGTGGAAGTATGTCCCAATAAGTATTTGGAACCTATTTTTTTATTTTTTATTTACTTATTTATTTTTTTAAAGATTTTATTTATTTGAGGGAGAGAGAAAGCACATGAGAGGGGGGAGGGTCAAAGGGAGAAGCAGACTCCCTGACAAGCAGGGAGCCTGATGCGGGACTCGATCCACGGACTCCAAGATCATGACCTGAGCCGAAGGCAGTCGCTTAACCAACTGAGCCACCCAGGCACCCCTGGAGCCTATTTTTATTAAGATTTTTTGTTGTTTATTTGAAATTCAAATTCACGGGTGCCAGGGTGGCTCAGTTGGTTAAGCGTCTGACTCTTGGTTTCAGCTCCGGTCAGGATCTCAGGGTCGTGAGATTGAGCCCTGCATCTGGCTCTGTGCTCAGTGGGGAGATTCTCCTTCCCTCTGCCCTGCCCCCCACTATGTGTGCGCACTCTCTAAAAATAAATAAGTCTTTGAAATTCATATTCATCTGGGTGTCCTGTTATTTTATCTGGCAACTCCAGCTTATTTCTCAGTATTACAAATGGGAAAAATCATAATGTGTTACATGTTAATCCCAGACCTTTTATCAGTTTCTGTAACAAAAATAAAGCACAGTAAAAACATCCGTATATAAGTAACAGAGTAATATTGGATGTAAATAGCATTTCCTGATCAACAGACATGTAATTATGTTAAAAACAAACAGATGTTTGTAATAACACGGTTTTCCTGAAGCACCACTGATGTCTAGAATGTATATTTCCTTTATTGACACTCAATGTCCTTCACAAAATTTGTATAATTGATGTTATATGCCAGTGCACTGGGTGAAATATGGTGTGTGAATTTTTTCCTCAAGTCTTTTTAAAACATTTTAGTGAGTTTCAGGGTTGTAAATAAAGTTTTCCTCTATTAACATCAACCAAAAGAGGAACATAATTGAGAGGTACATGTGTTCTGGGAGCTTCGAGTGGTAAAAACCAGGGGGTGTTGCGTGGTGGAAATGTTACTTGGGCACATACTCTATAGGTATGGCTGTATAATTTTTCAAGTGGTATTGCTCTGTCAGATTTTAGGTGACAAACATGGGAATGCATTGTGGCTCAATGAAAGAGAGTGCTCAGTTCAGCGAAGAAATCAGAAAGTGGTGGAGGAAGCACCAAGGTAAGAGTTTTTCATAATGAATATTCGTAATAGACTGATTTTGTTTAGCATATTTCTTTCCCATTATTGGCTAAAATTGCTTCAGTAGCAATTCGGTGGAATCGTCATGGTAGAATCTATTAGTGTATATTTTTATAATTAAGAATTTGCCACTTGATCTCATCCTCAGTGCTTAAGTGCATGACGTGTGAGAATACTTGGGAAAAAAAGGTGGGGTTTTGCTAGAGGAGAGAGTTTGGTGGATAGCCAACCCTGACTTCCATGAGCTTCTAGGTAATAGAGACCTTGCTGGTGTTTTCTGGTCTTACATAATGTCTAGGGATACATGCCTTCTAGGATCTTCTGTTGGTGAAGTTTTCATAAAGTTGACCCTGACGTTTTGAATTTATCCTACCATCAAAAGGCTTCTGGAGCACAGTTTTTCAAAATTCCTTGATTTGCAATCCCTATCAAAATACTGGTAACTCTTTTCACAGAACTGGAACAAATAATCCTGAAATTCATATGGAACCAGAAAAGACCCCAAATAGCCAGGGGAATATTGAAAAAGAAAAGCAAAGCTGGTGGCATCACAGTTCCAGACTTCAAGCTCTATCACAAAGCTGTCATCATTAAGACAGTATTGTACCGGCACAAAAACAGACCACAGATCAATGGAACACAATAGAGAGCCCAGAAATGGACCCTCAACTCTGTGGTCAACTCATCTTTGACAAAGCAGGAAAGAATGTCCAATGGAAAAAAGACAGTCTCTTCAACAAATGGTGTTGGGAAAATTG